TGAAAAGAAAATATCATAGAATATCACAGTGCATTTCACCTTTATGTATATCTATAAAGCACATATTTTTTTTAACAACCTATAAATGAATAGAAGCCAGTAGAGTTGATGAAAGGGATTAGAGGAAGGGAGGGTAAGAGGAAGGACTGAGGACTGGGAACTAAAGCAAAGCAATTTATATTTCAATTTATATTTCATGAAATATAAAATATATTTTGACATTATATTTTATGTCAAAATAAACCACATTATTATGTATAACTTTAAGTCATTAATGAAATATTTAAAAATACCATAAATTCCATGGCTAATAAACAATAGAAATTGATTTCTCAAAATTCTGGAGGCTTGGAACTCCAAAATAAAAGTGCTAGCAGATTTATTGTCTGGTGAGAGCATCTTCCTGGCTTGTAGATGATGCCTTTCCCCCTCTGTCCTCACAGGAGTGAAAAGACAATGCACTTGTCTGGGTCCACTTTCATAAGGGTACTAATGCCATTCATGAAAGATCTAACCTTACGAACTAATCAATTCGCAACACCCCCAATTTCTAATACCATCAGATTGTTAATCAGTTTTCAACAAAAGAATTTAGAAGAAAACAAACATCCAGATCAGAGAACATAAATATGTGAGACATAAATGGGAAAGGGACAAGAGGTTGTGTGAAAATTTAAGCAAAAGCAGGGGATTATAAAGATTATCTAAAAAGTCAACTAGCTCATACAGTTCTTTGTAAGGCTCACTAAGGAGTGAAAATATACACTTAAAATTTTTGAGAAACCAATGTTTTTCATTAAAGAATCTATATTATTATATTTATATTTCAGAAAAAAATTTGTCCTGGATAAATTTGGAAAACATGTTGCAAAAGACTAAACTAAAAGAAAATATGTATTATTTAAAAGGCTATAGTAATTTTCTAGACAAAAAACAATACATGAGGAATGAACCGGGGATTGAAGCATGGAGAGATAATAATGGATACAGAAACAGAGAAGAGGGAATAGAAATAAAATTTTTTAATGAGGTAGAGATTACACTCAATAGTAATTTATGACTAAATTAGATAGGACAGAGTAAGCATAGGGTATTACATGAAATAGTTAAACACATGAACACTGGATCCAGGCATCCTGAATTTATACCTTAGGACTTTCTACTCACTAACTAAACAATCCTGAGCAAGTTATTTAACCTCTCTATGCATTCATTTTCTTATATGTAAAATATTAATGATTAATATACTTACTGAAAGGTTGGTTTAAGGATCAATTAATTAAATTTCATAAAATACTAAAATCTGTCTGGTACACAGTAAACATATATAATTTTTCAAGAAAATTTTGAAAGGACCCCCCTGCCCCAGATTTTGGTCTTCAGAAACAATCAGAGGTCCCGCCATTTACTGAATTAAAAATATCTTACTAGGGCTGGGGTTGTAGCTCAGCGGTAGAGCACTTGCCTAGCATGTGTGAGGCAATGGGTTCAATTCTCAGCACTGAATATAAATAAATAAAATAAAGGTCCATTGACAACTAATAAAAATATTAAAAACAAAACAAAACCAAAAAAATCTTACTAAAGGTAGATGTATTAGTCAACTTTGCATTACTACAATGAAATGCTCAAGGCAATGAATTTTATAAAGTGAAAGGGTTTATTTCATTCACAGATTTTACATTCAAAGTCATGGCACCTGTATCTGTTCATTTCTGATGAGGGTAGCAGATGGTGGTACATCATTGCAGGAGTATATGTAGGAGCAAAACAGTCACTTTAGAACCAGAGCAGAGATAGATGATGGATGTGGTTCTAGATTTCCCTTTGAGAGCATACTCACAGAGGGTTAAGGACTTTCCACTAAACATCACCTCCTGAGGTTTCACAACATCTCCGAAAATATCATCACCATAAGGATCAAGCCTTTATGCATGGTCCTTTAGGGGAGATGATATTCAAATAGAAATAGCAGGAATATGGAAAATACTATGTGAAACATAATACCATATTATAGTATATACATCAATTTTATCTGCTAGCATTCTATCCTTAAAGGAGCCATTTCACACATGCTCTAAATGGTTCTAGTAGAACTCTTTAATCATAGTCCCTGATCCTTCCCTAAATGCATAAGTGGATATGAAAACAAGGCCCTGTCAATTATGGCATCCTATTCCTTTATCCAAGGGATAAGCTCATGACTAAAGAATGACCAATCAGAGTTCTTTCATAAAATTGCTATATTCATACTGCGAGTGAGAGGAAATTCTTTCTTTATGAGTTATAAGCTATAAAGGTATAGGTTTAGGGCTGGTAGTAGACAACTTTCTTGCTATATGGAGAAAGCCTCTGAAATGCTCTTGATCCACAGGGAGAAAAAATGTCTCGGATTCAGCAGCAAATGGTATCTAACTTTAGGCTTCCTAATTATATAACCCATTTAATTATTTTTTAAGTTTAAATTACTTATAACTGTGTTATTTATTTAACCACAGAGTCCTGGTTAGTACAATATAGTTGAAGCAAATGTTCAGGTGTATACCTTAAAGGATTTTTTATGTTAATTAATTGGCACGACTTTACATAGGATACATATATCCATGGAATATAGAGAAGAGAGGAATACAGATCACAATAGGACAATCATTCAAAATGTTATACTACTAGAAAAATTAAACAGATATCTTTATTGCAAGAGCTACTCAAGCAGAAATCATTGGAAAATAGACCTTAACAACATTTTCTGAAGATAATCTTGTATTAGGGAATGTTGAAAAGAACAGAGACTTATTCATTATTACACTGTGTTAAGCAGTTAGGGTTACCCAAAACTTGGTTGGGTCCACTTAATGACTTGCTGAAGCTAGAATGAAAAGGCAATTTAGAAGAATTTGGGTGTCATTACTATATGTTACTAAATAAGACACTACAGAAAAGAATTGAACAATATTAAAGTATACTAGAAATGATTCCTGAGTTCAGACAAAATTATTATCCACCCAAGATTCATGCCTCTAACAGGGGCATCAAAGAAAAGAGACATGCAGAAATAAGTAGTCAATAAAATGTCACCTGCAAAAGGTTACAGAGCTCCAATGCATTTAATGGGCCTTTACAGGCCTTCTATGGATGTAGTACTTGACTATGTTCTTTTAAGAACCTATTCATTTTAAAAGGGAAAAGAAAGCTTCACAAAAAGTTTCAAAAAGGCATCTGGGAGCTGGGGCTGTGGTTCAGTGGTAGAGCACTTGCCTAGCATGTGTGAGGCACTGAATTCAAGTCTTTACCCACCCCAATACATGTTCTCTCTTTACCCACCCCATTACATCACTATGCATTCTCAGTGGGTAAACATACCTCCTACATCATAGAAAATAGAACTGAATAGGAATAGTATATTATCTCTGTTATTTTCTGCCTCATACTCATCCTTTTTTCCTATATTTTTATTAGCCTAAGGCTAATTAACATCTTCATTTATGCTTTGTATTTGCTTAGAAAAACTTATTGGTTTCTAACTTCAATCCCTACTAGGTTCTCCATGAGCATCTAAATAAGCTCAATTTATCCTATATTAAAAAGAGAACTCTCTAAGCCTCACCAACTGTTGTCTTCTTCTTTCTTCCAGATGACAATGGAACATCTTGTAAGGACTATTTACAACTGTTACAAATGCACTCAATGCTTCCCTCAACATAATTTGGTTTTTGCCCCTAATAACCCATCAAAGCATCTCTCACCAAAGATACCAAGGATCTCCTTATATTAAACTCAATGGATATTTCTAAGGCATTATCATTTTTGCCCCATCAGAAGCATTTGATATTGCTTACAAATCCCTGTTTCTAGAAATATGCTCTTACTTTTGTTTTCCTGCTATCCTTTTCACCATAGATTGTCTTATTTTATCCCCTTTTACTCAGGATTCTGTGCAGGGTCACCTTTTTTATTTCACATTTTCAGATGGTAGGCAACCTTGTCCAATCACATAATTTCAATTTCCATAGACATGGTAAAAAACTCCAAAAATCTATTTCTGTTTTACAGTTGTCTCTCTTTAGCTTCAAGTTCATATATTTAACTTCCTACCAACCATTACTACTTGATATATAATAGGCATCTCAATAATCACATATATCCTATGTCCTGTGTTTTTATCTCCTGCCAATTCACTCCTGAATCCTTATATTTTAACTGTTTTTAAAACTTCCATAAGTTAGAGTTATCAACAGTCATCTCAAATTTAACTTATTTGAAACAGAAATTTCAGTTACCTCTCCCAAGCCAGTTACTCTCTGAGTCTTACATAACTTCATAAACAGTTCCATCTATTCACTAAGCTGAAGGAAAAACATAGATGTCATCCTTAAGACCTTGCATTCCTGCATCCTTTCATGGATGTCAGTTTAACATTAAACTATTCATTTGAAAAATATTTTGGTTAAAAATTACTCTTCTATATTTTTGTAATGAAATATTTATCCTGAACTTGTTAATCTAGCTGGATGCCAATTCTGAATAATCTGAATTTCCTGACAACTTGTTTGCCAAATAATCAAATCCCCTCATTTAACCACTGATTTTTGCAGCAAATTCTACTAACTCAAAGATATATGACACAAATAAAGTTGAAATTGTTTGTATAAAATGGTATACTAAACAGATTAAAGATAAAAGAATTAGCACCAGCTTCAACTATTTCAACTATGCCATGATAGTAATAAACATTTTGCTTACAGACTCATTACTAGCTAATCTCATGAAATCTCTCTCTCTCACCTTTCCCCAATTTTTCCTGTTCACCATGCTCATATTCACCAGCCTTTCCCAAATCACTGTAACTTTTAAACTTGGACCATTGTAAAATCTCCCAAAGGAAAAACTTCTTCCTTTTGTTTTACCTCCTAATTTTTTTTCTCTACAAAGCAGACAGTAAATATTTCCAAAGTACAAATTAGATAATAGTAGCTCCCTGCTTCAAGCACTTCAATAACTTACCATTCAACGAGGAATAATATTCAAATTCCTTGCCATGGCCTTCAACTTCATCTCTTGTCAATGTTCTTCATTCCCTTTATGTAAACTGTGAAGGGATTCAAGATATATTTAGGAATTAGAACCAGAATGCTCTATCAATCACAAAGTTTTGGTACAGTCATAATAACCAACAAATGAATATTACTTTAAAATATATTAACTTACTTGAACTTCATAGTGTATAAATTAGTGGAACAAGTTTCAGTATCCCCATTTTACAAATTATAAAGCTGAGGCAATAGAGACAAGACTAGAACTAGTTTTGCTAACTCCCCAACCAGGTTATGTATTGTCTTGCAGACCAATTCATGCAAATATACAAATGATACAATCATGTATCACTTTTACTTAGAAACATTTTCTGTTAGCAAATCATACATTCTGTCATTCTTTTTGAGATTTTATTGCTATGGAGACTTGCAAGGAAATAGAAGCATTATTGCTAAAAAAAGAAGCATCTATTTCTTTAAGGACAACTGGAACTTGAAAATTAATTTAAGTAGAATTGCATACCAATAGTAGGACTTTAGTCCCCATGTTTTTAATGTAAATTTATGTATGGGTGGTACATGGGATTCCATGGTAGGAACACCCTATACCATCAAGCTACATCCTCACCCCGCCATTTCACTTTTGAAAATTAAATAGGTGACTATTTATAAAATTCTGGTTTTATCCAACACAATATATCCTCACTAAAATGTGATATTCTCCAGGACACAGCCATGTCTTATTCATCATTGCATCTTAATATCACATGCAGTGCCTGACACAAGGAAATTTCATAATGTATAAGTGTCAAATAAATAAAAGCAATCATCATCCATTATTTCAGGTTAGTTAAGTGGCTATCAATACAAAGGAAAAAGAAAAAATCATGCTATCTTGCCCATTTAGTAAGTATATTGGTCTCTATCATTGAACTCCCAAATAATCAAGTGATTTCTATATTTGATAAACATTCATTGAATTTTCACTGAGCTACTTATCCAGAAGTTTACTCTCCTATGTTTTAATATATTATACCATGTTCACAAATATTTTCTTTAAAAAATAGAGATTTTTGACAGATAGTTAAATTTCCTCTTTCCTTCTTCTCAGTTTTAGCTGGGAACATAGCTATCCCCAGCCTCCCTGCAGTTAGGCATGCCCAATTTACTAAGTTCTAGACAATGGACTATGAGCAGATGAGCAGTATACAGCTGCTAGACCATCTTCTTAAAGATATATCCACTGGCCTTGGAGTATTCTGTGGGATAGAAAACTACTTCTCTTATATGGGAAACAATAAGTTTTTGACTCTTTATTATAACACCCTAGCCCATTCCCCAATCAGTGGGCTAGATCACCTTAACAGATGAGAAACAATATATAAAGAAACAAATATAAAAAGTGTCATTCTCTCTGGGAACTACTTCCAATTTGATGGTTTCTATTTTCAGTTGGCTTTGAGATACATGAGGATTGACACCCAAATACTTATTATTTCAGAATATGTATAGCCATAGATCAAGAACCTATTATAGGGGATATAACTCAGTGGTATAGCACTTGCTTAGTACATATGAAGCCCTGGGTTCAATCCCCAGCACTGTAAAAAAAAAAAAAAAAAAGAAAAGAAATCAAACAACCCTATTATACAGCATCTAAGGGAAGTAAATTCTGTTAAGTTACTGACTACCTGGCTCTCTATGGTTTTTTAAAGTAGGTTTTGCTAAAAATAGTATTTAACAAACTGGTTCCCATAGATTACTAAAACCTTGCAAGAAGTAAATAGGCATTGTATACATGTGAAGCAACCATGCTTGGATGTGTATGTGTGAATGGGGTGGGACAGTGATATTGACAAAGGAAAGTCCTGATGTTACATTTGGCAAATTCCTGGTTAAACAGGTTTATTAACATATGTTACTTGCTTAGATCCTAAAGTATTTAAATTTGCTATCTCTGGTTTAAATGAACAATTCATAATTTGAGTCTAGACTCTGACCTTGCTTGAGTCCCAGAATAACTTATTTACAGGAATGGTTTCTGAGTATCATTAGAATAACTGATAAAATGTGAAGAACTCTAGCTTTGGACACTAAACATTTTTTTGTAACTCTACTTACTAAAATATAAAGGGTTTTCTCTGAATAAATTTTCTTGGCACTGAAAATAATACCTCTACTACCTTGATTTGTTACAAAGAAATGAAGAGCTTCTTAGTATAACTTTCTATACTGTCAAATTTACCTCAAATTGCTATTGCTTCAAAATCATAAACTCCAATGAAGTAAGCTAGCAAGAATTTGATAATACAATAAAGCTGCCTTTGGGGAATTATGGAGGGAGGCTGAAGAAGAAAAAAAAGTACTAAGCCTCATCATTGAAGCAGCAAAGATCTTAGATATTTGTGATTTCTATCCCACTTAATAAACTTTAAACAAAGATATGATGGTATTGGTTGTCGTTTATATTAAGCAGTGCAGAGGATTACATGTTCCAATTATATGCCTCAGAGCAGAATGATTGTTATGAATCTGTGCTCTTAGCCAATATTGATCATCAACACCTTGCAAAAACACAGGACAATCAAAAATGCTCTGCCAATGAGGCAGTTTATATGAGGCAAGAAAATGATACCATTTGTGTCACTCTCTTTATAGTCAATAAGGATGCTCCTGCCTCTTCACCTGCACATTTCACAAAAATAAAAACGAATGAGTTTTCAAACTAGTTGATAAAATAAAATCCTTTGGGGGTATAACCCTTAAGTATATTTTGGAGCTTCTTAAGTTGGTATGAAAAGAAAAGACACTATAATAAATCCATGATCCACTGCTGTCAACTTCCTAGTATTCAGAGAACTACAACATGATTTCTCACCAACCTACAGATTTGTTGTTTGGGGCTAATCTCTACACTTCTGAAAGTTCATTTTGTGCATCTAAACAAATGATTAGTGTCTCACCTTTAGAAAATGTCTGCATTTCTCCCAAAACATCTAATTTCAAAAGCACAGTATTTGATTTATAATTATTTGATGCATAAATAATGTACTTTCTCATGACAGCTACTGTCAGTAGTCTTTTTCATCTTTTTTTATTAAGAAAACTCAAAATGACCATATAGGCACAGCCTAAATATAGCTTTCAATATCAAAATAAAATAAACTATCCACTGTGATCCACCATTTTCAGTTAACAAGTTGAAGTCGAATTATAGAAAGAATGTAGTTTCTTTTCAGATTCTATTATTAGACACTCCAAAAACCTATTCCCTATACAGCATATGTATATGAATTATAAAAGAATTAATTAAGATTTGTTTCATTCATCTGATTGTATACATGCAAAATAACACTCTTACTGAAATCAATACAATAGGAAAAATACTGTGAGTTACCAAACTACATATGTGTATATATGCTCTCAAATAAATGACTAAAAACCAGAACCTTAACAACCAGCTAGTTCCATGTGCCCTTGTGTTTGAAAATTTTGTCATTCTAACAACTGGACTTTTTCTGTGCAATTTTGATGTTTTAAAAAATTGCAATCTGTATACGGGGTAAAGTTGGGAGTTCATAACCCGCTTGAATCAAACTGTGAAATATGATGTATTAAGAACTGTGTAAGGTTTTGAACGACCAACAATAAAAAATAAATAAATAAATAAATAAAAATTTTAAAAAATTGCATTTGTGGGGGCTGGGGTTGTGGCTCAGTGGTAGAGTGCTTGCCTGATATATGTGAGGCACTGTGTTTGATCCTCAGCACCACATAAAATAAAAAATAAAGATTTTGTGTCCACCTATAAGTAAAAAATAAATATTTTAAAAATATATATTTTTTAAAAATTGCATTTTAATAATTGCCAATAGTATTTAAACAGCAAGAATTAATAGGTAGCTTGGAAATGCAGAAAATTAAAGTCAGGAAGGACTGGTAATGAATACCAGACAAATTATGCTGAGATAGGTAGAGCAAGTTGTTACACAAGGCAGAAAAGGAGGGTTATTTGTCAGCATACAATCAGTAAATCTAGTTAGGGTCATCTCTTTGCACAACTCCAAGGGACATCATTCATATCACAGTCTGCAGAAGTGTTGTACCTGGAATTTGCAATTAACATTTTGCTTGCTCATATGCAATAGTCCGAAACTCCAGCAGATAAACAGGCAATGTCAGAGAAGTCAGCGAATAAAATTCTGGTCCTGGTTATGAAAAGAACACCGTAAATCTTGCCCTCATGTACATCCATAAGAATGGGACACTAAATAGAATAAGATATATTCCATGCTTATATAATTATATCAAAATGGATTCTATTGTCATATATAACTAAAAAGAACCAATAAATTAAAAAAATAAAATAATTTCTGAATTCTAGTCTTTGATATAATGATTAATAAAATATAAAAATGGAATTTCAAAAGAACCAAAATACTTGACAAAGGATCAAGCACAGGGCAAACTAGGGGCCTAGTTAGGGGTATTGAAGAAGAAGGAAGAAACCTACTTTATCATAGGAAACATGGAAGTTATTATACAATATTAGAAGGCATCCTCAGTAAGACCATCTTGATGTCTACCTACTGGCCAGTGGTTACTTAAATTCTTTACTAGAAAATGTGATTATTGCTGAAATTTGGGGTGATTTTAAAACTAACAACAGTAGGTAAATAGGTCTCCTTTAGAGTTCAGGAACAGAAATGAGTTAAGCTTCTTACCGTATTAGCTCCCCTGTTTGATGCCTTGTAATAAAACAATGCTAAAATATAAAGATTGTCTCAGTCTACTTAACACTAAAATATATTTATGAAATGGAAAAGTTAGCCAACCAAAGAAGTAATTGATTTGCCCTATGCCAAGGACCTACATATCTCCATGTATCAGATAGAGAAAATATCTGGATTATTAAAAGAATCTTTCTTGTATTAATTACTTAAAGTTTCTTAGGTATAACAATCTATCACACCCATATATATCCTACTATCTATATTAAGTTGAAGCACTCTTCAATTATACAATTTTATCTAGACAAAGAAGATATTTGGAGTCT